AAAAAAAAGCTAGCACGCAAAAAAAGTTAGCATTAGCGCAAAACTGCCGACCACTAGCATCGCCATAAGGCTGACCACCAGATGATGCAGCACTGATCAAAGCAGTTGGTCAGCTGGTGAACGATGCTACAAATTGCAGCTGAACAAAGTATTAAAGTAATGAGTAAAATAGTGGATTTAAAGAAGTTTTACCAAGGCGCTGCATCTTACGGCATCTGCACCACTTTCGGGAATATTTTACAGTTACAAAAACTAACCCGTCCGTAACTGTTCTCGGCAAGAAGCGTATATTCACCACTGTCTTCCGGTAACACTGATGAGATTTTGATAAGTGCCAGAGATCCTTTGAATATTACAGTGATTCCTTTTGAGTTTAGCACATCCACTATTTTTCCATTTTTCAGCCAGGTTATCTAGAAGAAGAGATGTCCGCAGAAACCGCAGAAAATTTTTAAAAATCTACCAATCCACGCATTTCAGATCTGGATTCATATCAAAATTTATAAAACTGTTGCTCTGGCTTTAATCACATTCAAGAAACGGGGACCTGCGGAAAGTTTTCCAGAATCAATTACAAGCAGTGCGTACAAACTGCACTTTCTTACTTTGACAGAAGTATTTTTCCATAGAACTTACTTTTGGTTTTGGATTTCCCACTATGCTGCATTGCAAAATAGCGTCGGTACCTTCTGTTAACCGTAGGCCTTTCAGTGGAGTTTGTATTCGCGGCGGTCCACCAATACCCCGTGAATCAATGGATGCAAGCTCGGGTTCCGTTTCACTTTCACTAACACCCCACGGCTGTCAAAACAAACTTATTTTTCACTGGAAAATACAAAATACTGAAATCTTTTCAAATCTGAAGGATTTTAATCAGCAAACTTATTCAGCAATCAAAATGTCTCTACTCTTGAAAACGAAACATTGCGAATATTTAAAAGTGTTGTATAGTAAAAATTTAGCAAAAACATGTCGCGGTTTAACAATGAAACATCCTTGCCGTGCTATGTTTTTCGACGTAAGTCAAAACATAACTAAAAAACTATTTCGCACATATCTCCCCAACGACCTAAGATCCTTTCCCAGATGCGAAAGGGAGAAAAATTATCCTAACTGGAAACACAGCTTGTTATCACTGCGTCTTGATCATAAATGAAAAAACAGGAAAAGATAACTTCCACCGCTAATGGGATGCAATTTCAGGGCTTTAAAAGAATGCAGTTCGTATATCATATATGTGTTATTGACATGACTATGCTGTGCGTGGCGTGAATAAATCTTTTTTGCATCATTCTTTTATGATCAGGTTTCTGAAGACAAAATTTGACAATCAAAAAATAACCTTTCAAATACACCCCTAAATTTACATTATCAGAAAAGACAATTGTCAGCT